AGGGGGGAGGGTTTAGGGGGGAGGGTTTAGGGGGGAGGGTTTAGGGTTTGGGGCGCTGGAGAGAGGGAGGGAGAGGGAGAGCGATGAGGAGATGGGGGACAGGGGACAGAAAAGGAGACAAATAAAAGGAGACAAATAAAAGGAGACAAATGAAAGGAGACAAATGAAAGGAGACAAATGAAAGGAGACAGATGAAGTGAAAGGAGACAAGTGAGATAAATGGAGACAAATAAAATAAAAGGAGACAGATAAGGAGATACAAAATTGGGGACGAAAAAGGAGACAAATAAGGAGACCAATAAAGAGACAAGTGGGAGATAAGGGAGAAACAGAAAGGGCAGAAAAGGAGACAGGACAGGAAACAGAAAAACGACAAAAAAGGGGACAAAAAAGGAGACAAAAAAGGAAACAAAAAGAGACAAAAAGGAGATAAAAAGGAGAACAAAGGGGAACAAGGAGGAGACAAAAAGGGAATAAAACGGGGACAAAAAAGGAGGCAAAGAGGGGACAAAAAGGGGGGAAAAGGGGACCCAAAGTTCTCCAAAAAGGAGACAAACAAGGAGATAAAAGCAAGGCAAAAAGGGGACAAAAAAGAGACAGAGAGAAAAAAGAGGCAAAAAGGAGGCAAAAAGGAGACAAAAAGGACAAAAAGAGGGGCAAAAAACAGACAAAAAGAGACAAAAGAGAGACAAAAAAGAGACAGAAAAGAGACAAAAAGAGAGACAAAAAAAGAGGGAAAGAATGAGGCAAAAAAGAAACAAGAAAGAGACAAAACGAGACACAAAAGAGACACAAAAGAGACACAAAAGGGACAAAAAGGAGACACAAAAGAGACACAAAAGAGACGAAAAGGAGACATAAAAGAGACGAAGACAGGCGGAAAAGGGACAAAAAAGCGAGAAAAAAGAGACAAAAAAGGGACAAAAACGAGACAAAGAAGAGACAAAAAGGAGACAAAAGAGAGACACAAAAGGGACAAAAAAGAGACAAAAAGCAGACCAAAAAGAGACAAAAAGAAACAAAAAGAGACAGACGGACCCCGACGGTGCAGCAGGCGAAAGTCCAAATGGCCATGCTGTGGTTTTCGAGGCGATCCAAAGTGGAGTAGTTTCTGCAAGGGGACAAAAGAGACACTTGCAATTAAAAGAGACACTTGCAATTAAAGCAGATTAATGCATTTAAAAGGAATTAAATGCCATTTAAGTGCGACTAGAGGGACTAAAGGGATTAAAGAGATTAAAGGAGTCAAAAAGGGACAAAAAGAGACAAAAAGAGACAAAAAAGAGCCAAAAAGAGACAAAAGAGAGACAAAAAAGGGACAAAAAAGGGACAAATTGGGGCTGGGGTGGCTATATGAAGGAGACAGTTATATAAAGGAGAC